AGGTCATCTTAATTATGCATGCTAAATTCTGACTCGAGGCACAGAAAACTGAAGAGTATTAGTTGTTGAGTAAAAGAAGTCTGAACTCATAACACTTTATTCATACTCTGGTCTGAATCCTGGTGCTCATATACAAATGTAGGAGTGTATTTATGCTCAAGGTTTTGTGGGGGTTTTTTCCTCTTTCTTAAGTAGGTTTTTTTTTCTTTTTTTTTGCAGGAAAATCCAAAATCCACGCTCAGGGTTTTGTGAGGGTTTTTTCCTCTATCTTAAGTAGGTTTTTTGTGGGGTTTTTTTTGCAGGAAAATCCAAAATCCAGGCTAAATCAGGATGAACCCTTGCAAATCTAAACATTCTAATAAAAAAATGTTCAAGTTCCAAAAATTAAATATTTTTATTGCCTTATAAATTGTTTTGTGTTTTTTAAATTAAATTAGATTCTAAGTTCATTTTTCAAGAAGAAATCAGATACTGGTTGAAAAATCAGGTGGTTTTATTAATGCCAAGTCATTTTCTTCAAGTGGTTGCTAAGTAGCATCACTTTCAAATTCCACAATTCAGTATAAAATTGGTGGAAACTAACAGTAATGAATATATCATGTATCAGGGAATTGCTCTAGTTAGAAGCTGTTTAGTAACACCACACACAAGGTTCAAAAGGTAACAACTCTCCCTGTCCAGAGTCTAACTTTATAAATGTGCATTTTGAACTGTTAGCAAGTGAAATTAGGTGGTGAGAAACAGGGAAACATGATTGAATGGATGTCTGCCAGTTAGATTTTGACATCTTAGAACCATTTTGGGTTTTGCTATATACCAGAACACAAATTTTTTAAAAAGTTCTTTTATGCATTGCTGAATTAAGTGAGGAAGTGGATTATAAAGTTTATTCTAGTCTGAAAAAAAAACAACCAAACAGATTTGGATTTAAAATGAGAAAAAAAATTCATTCTTGATCTCATGGGGATTTTTTCACCCAACAGTAACATGAACAAACAAGATGACAATGATGAATCAATAGAGAAATGTTGGATGCAGTTAATTCTACTAGCAAGCAAGATAAAGTTTTGCAGTAGTTTGATCTTTGACTTTTCTTCTGTTATTTTTTAGAGTCATGGCATATTACCTCTGGCAAAACTATCATCAACAAATTCCTGCACTTTTATTATAAGGAATAACAGCCATGGCTTGTGCCAGTTCCATATGATCTTTAGCTTTAAAACACTGTATTTTCTTTCTCTCTATTTAGTAAGAGTATAGTGACACAAAAACAATGATCAGAGTAAATACAAAACTGCTGAGAATGCTATGGGGAAAAAAAAGACTTTTACAGATTTAAGAAGTAAATGTAAGTTTTTAAGTAACTTAGTAGACTGCTGAGAATGCCATGGGGAAAAAAAAAGACCTTTACAGATTTAAGAAATAAATGTAAGTTTTTAAGTAACTTAGTAAGCTATACCATGTGTGCACATGCATTTCTGCACAAGTGTGTGCTAAAGATAAAAAGACACAAATGCTTTTGTATAGCAACACATTTAGATTATTATGTATTTGTTATGAGGGTAAGTACCATTTTTATGAGCACAAATGCTTTTGTATAGCAACACGTTTAGATTATTATGTATTCGTTATGAGGGTAAGTACCATTTTTATGATCCTTGGACCTAAAGGAATATAAAAGGACCATCAAAAGCATAAATTAGATCTATTAACATGTGAATCATGATAGAAAATCTCTTCAATCAAAGTCAACCAGGGAGATTTCCTCAAGATTTCCATGTATCCACTTAAAAGTATCTTCACATTTAGTCTTTAATAGAAACTTCACATTCTTATAAACATTTTTACAAGCACAGCTTTTATCTCAAGAAGGCTGTGTAAAGAAAGCATGTATAGTCTGACAACAAGGCAAAGGATTTCCAACCTTTCCACAGTCATGGAAAGAACAAAGTCATTCATACTCTAGTTACTCTCCTAAATCACAGAATGGTTTTAGTGTCTTTGTTATACAAATAAGAAAACATTTATTCATTGTGTTATTCAATATGGTAGCATTCATTAAATAGTTCAATTAATTTTTCTCTCCAAGGCCCATACAAAAAAATCCGAAAAGGAGAGTGAAATGCGATGAAAAATTTGATTTTCATCACTTTTCATCTCAGGTGTGCTAAAGTATTACCCTTTCTAGAGCAGTGCTGAGGAACAGCCTAAAACCAAAGGAAAAACTATCATAATTGAAGTCAATAGGATGCACACTTGAAAATTTGACTTGGAACATTCCAAAGAGATGAGATGAAATTTTATATCCACTTTTTATTATATTGGGATACTACAGCTAGGATAGTTATGAGGAAAATTATGTATTAGTTAGAGAGTTATACAAGCCTACAGAAAACACCTTGAAACAAGAATTAAGACTGGGAAGTCTATGAATTATAAATAAGGAAAAGCAATGTCAGAATTGTACTGCTAGTTCTAGCTCTGTCATAATGGCTAGGTTGATATGGTGAAAAATTCAGAAGTAGAAGGATATAACACAAACATCACGAGAGGTTAAAAACTTTGCAATCCATAACTGCCTGGTTTACACCATTGGAAACCAATTAGTCTTCACTGAGGCCTCTTAATGCTCAGTGATATACAAGTCTCTGGTTTTTATCTGGCACAAGTTTCAGGTGTTTTAAAATCTGATTAAACTGCATTTAGCTATGTGGCTCAAGTTGAATCTCATTAAGTAGACTTATTGCTCATATTTTTCTAATAAGCTTTAGCCATTACCAACCAGTGAAAGCAAAACAAATTTCCAGTTCAAATTTTCACTTAGAGTGTTCCATACCAGCAATATATGTGAAGAATCAGTAATTCTTGAGTGCATTTCTGACTTTAAATACACATGAACAACAGTGAAATGAAAGTCAAATTTTACACACTTAACAACTTCACTATAATAAGTCAATAAAATGGCTTATTTTATACTGAGCACAGAAAGGACATTGTGCAATGATGTCATAACATGACTTTCTTTTATATCTTCCAAATGGACATGCTGTGAATGTTTTTCTCTGCATCTAAGGGCCAGATCATATAAGCTCTGTAGCCATGTAACACTTGCCAAGATTATTAGCCCTCTAAATATCCTTTAAATACTATCTGCATCGCCCAAGTATTTAAAACCCAGGTAATCAAAGCACATTTGGATGCTTAATCAACATAAAGAATCCCCATAAAATATTCATCACTATCTGTATGAACACTTGGGTTCCATTTACAGCATAGAGGGCTCTAAAGGGTCCAGAAGAGAAAACAGAGTTTTTCATGTACTTCTTTACATTCTTTTATCCTGAGGCAAAGTAATGGTGTAAACTATTATTCTTACACAGTCATATGCTAGCAATTATAGGTTTCTGTCCAGTATCTGTTTTTCTGATAAAAGCACTTTACAGCACCATAGAAGATGAAAAACATGCAAGTTGCCCACAGGATTCTATTCCAATATTTATTATTCCATTGACTTTTTGACCATGGTCCTATGTTCTGACGAAGTAACTATTGCTACTGATCATGGTAAATATCTGAAAGTTTGAGATCAATTACATCTTTGACCAATGCAAAAAATATACAACTACAATGAATGAGAAGTGCTGCAAATTCAAAATTCGAAAAGGTAAAACTAGAGGAATGAAAATATTAATGAAAATAAGGAAGCACAAAACAATGACTTACAATAATAAGCAGCAGCTATATATAAACCAGATTCACACTTCATACAATGCTAAGATTTTGGGGGTTCATTTGTTTAGTTGAAATTGTTTAGAGAAATGAACAATGCAACTTTTAAAGTAGTGCATGATGGAATCTGTAATGTGCAACACAACAGAACTAGTCAATAAATTTAATTTAAATGCTTCCAATTATCATGTTCAAGCATTATATACAGCAAGAAAATAGAAGAAAACCATATTTTTCTCTGAAAAGGGTAATTTTCTACGAAGAAAGACAAGCAAAAAATAAATTAACTTGTTAAAATACTGATTGTAATTTAGTATCTAATGTATACACAATCTTTAAGCCTTATCAGTAGAAAAGAATTGTTCAAAAGACTAGCTGTTATGTGGTTCAATTAACATAGTCTAGACAACTGAGAGATAACTAAGATACCAAGCTTCTAGAATCAAATGGAAGATGAAAAGCCAAAGAAAAACCAACAAACCAAGAAAAGTCAAAATAAAGACCAACAACCTAAATTGCTACAAGTCAAAGTGGAAAATCTTTCAACAAATTTGAAGACTAAAGAGGTTCTAGTGGAAGATATGTTTTAAAATAGATCACTTCCTGATATTATAATTCTAGATTTTACTGCAACTAATGAGCAGAAAGTCACCAAAAAAAAAACATTTTGCAGGAATGTAGTTGTGAGTTTTATGAATTGAAATAAGGCCAAAGAACTGTAGCAATGGAAGAAAAAAAACCCAAAAACGAAAAATCCCCAGATTAATAAACTATCTGAAGGTACAGAAAGTGGAAAATGTAGTATGAAGGTGTTATTTATAATATTAATTAAAAATTTAAGAACAGGAATTATCTAGAAACCAAATAGTACAAATTAGGAATGAATTAATCTTAAATGAATAAGACACGAGACAGAGAAAGAGACAACTGTCATTTAGCTTGACTTTTGTCAGGATTTGACATGATCCCATGCAATATTTTCTCTGGCAAAGTAGGGAAATATGGACTAGCTGAATTAGACACTTAGAATATGGCATTATAATTTGGAAAAATATACAGTATGTGCAATTTTGAAAGAAAGTTGATATAATCACCCATTAAGTCTACAGAATATTAACAGAAACCACACAACTACTCTCTGCCTCATGTTTGCAATCATATTTTGTTACATGCCTCTAAACAATTTTAGGGACAAACAAAACATTAAAATTATTTTTAGCTTCACAAACATATGGAAAAAAATAAAAAGAGCCAAACGCTGATATTCATACCGTCATAAATCCATCCAGCAAACCTGAATCAGGCTTGGGTGGGGCTTGCAATCTCTCCATGGACCACTTTTCAATGATAGATGACACTTGGGTGTTTTCTGTGTTTAGAATTCTGAATCCAGTCATATTAACACCACTGTACCGATAGGGCTCCACATCCAAGGCAAACAGGTCCTGAAAAAATTACCACCATATGAATTCTTTAATATATTGCAAGTCCTAGTTCAATTGTTGAACCATCTCCCAAGATGAGACTGTGGAAATTTTCAGTGCTATATGTGCTAGGAGGTATAGTCTGTTTATCTGGGGGCCTGTGTCTGTGAGTAAGCAACTCAGCTGACCTTATAGTGGGAGTAATGTGACTCACAGAGGAAGAATAGTCTTGCAAGAAATGTTAAGTGCAGTTACAGAACTGTATCCATTACTAGTCAGTCCAAAATACTATAGGAGGCTTAAAGATTATGATTATGAATTGCTAAATATTATTATTAATCACTACTTCCTGGGCTTACCAGAAGTCAAACAGATATCAAATCATTTAAAATAAAATAAAATAAAATAAAAAACAAAAACCAGAACAAGAGTTTCCTTACACTTTCACTTTCTGTGAGGCTTGAACACGTTAATCTTAGGAGGATAAATCGGTAGGATACAGGTGGCAGTGCACAGGGACAAAGGGAAATGTACATGGCTTTAAATGTAATCGAAATATTTTTCACTGCCATCAATTGTATTTCCAAACATGGACATATCTTTGACTAGGAATTTAGCTTTGCAAGAATAACCTTTGCCAAATAATACGTTTTCTGTACATAGGTATGCATATGTTAGTGCAATTAGCTCTCCAACACACACAGAAGCAAATATAATTAATAAAGAGGAAAAAAAAATCAATTTTTATCTCAAGCAAATAAAATTATCCCAATCCTTTGATAGAATCCTTAGGAACAATGTAGAAACAGCACTTGACTTCAGGAAATTCAAGTCTAAGATCAAGTTTTGAACACAGGATTAAAAAATACATAATTAATATAGCTGTAAAATATTACTGTCCTATAACAATTTAAGTTTCCTTGAACAATTTTCCCCACAATTCATACTTAGTCATTCATCTCATTTTATATTGAATTTTTGCTGTCAGTTTGATACATTATGAATTACCATGAAAAGGTAGTGTTTGGTATAATACTTGCCTGAATCCATTTTGTTTACTGGCTAGAGTTGAAGAAGATTAAATATTGTACTATGAAAAACCAGAATATAATTCATTATTCATTGTTAACATCACTAAGCCCACAAAAATATCAACCAGTTATCAATCACTACTCATTTTTAATTACACCTAGTAACTATGATATGATTTCCCATATATAATACCTAAGATATGCAGGCATCAAAATTCATTTACATATATCCTAACTCACATCCTCTTTGTAAAGAAATAAAACATTTTATTACAAAGGGAAGGTTGAACATAACTAGAACTGTGTTACATCTTTCTCTTCAAAAAAATCCCATTTTATTTCTGTGAAAGAAGTCAGAACCTCAGATATAATTATTTAATCCCAACACATTCATGTTTACACTGGAATATAATAAATATACAAAGCAATATTATTCATATATTACAAATATGCAGAGGTCAGTGTATTAATGAGCTACTGCATTAGACCCTGAATCCATCAAGAAGAGATTAGACACAAGATTGTTGGAAACACTGTGACTGGAAAATTTATTTGACAGGACTTTCACTATGTCAGGTAAGAAGTAATTAATACATCAAAACAACTAGATTCTGATGCAAGTTCCAGAGCTACATTGCAAAATCAAAATCTATCGTCTGTTTGTGAAGAGTAAATTATCCTTTGATAGTTCCAAGTCGATAGAATACTTCCGACTCTTTAAAAGACACAATGTTCTAATGAGGAAATGAGAGTGCCAGAAAATCCTGAATTTTAAACATAGTTTTAACACTAAAAATTCAATGCCAATGGACGGCATACCACCAAAATATCCCAAATTTCACTAACAGTAAAATAAGAATTTAAAAGATAAAAAAATCCCTTGAAACATCAAAAACATCTAAAATCTATTTAATAAGGGAAATTCTACTGCATTCAATCCTAAATCTATAAGTGATAGAACAATTTACCCTTCTAAAATAAGATGCGTACTTGTGCAGAATTTGCCTTTGAAATTCACAAATTATTTTGCTTTCTATTCAACTAGCTATTTCATGGTAATACTTTCCATGAAATTCTGTTTCATGATTCTTAGGTGAACTTTCAATCCTACCACAAAGATTCATTTCCATAAGAGCTTAAAAATATTTGTGACTTTAAAACATCAGTCATTTCAAGCACTTTTTACCATGGCATATCTGTCTCAAGTTTGTCTCATACTTGTGTTTTAAGAACCTTAATGAACTGGCATCTAATTAGGCAAATTTGAACACAATGAAAACAGAAAAATCTGCACAACTGCATTTTCTAGAGTACTATTTTACTAACTTTCAAACTGTTTCTTTCTTAGGCTGTGATGAGCAGCAAAAACATCTACACATAGATGTTTATTATGTTTTCAAGAACATTCACATTTTAAATGTTCATTTATTGCAAATGATAGTTCCAAGAAGGATACTTCCAAAAAGGACAAAATGCATGATATAAACAAGGAATTAGAAATTATATACTCAACCCTCCCTGACAGCTAAAATCTGCAGTGCTAGACAGTCAGTAGGTTTTTGAGGTCTATCAGTTTCTAGGGCACACCATTAAATAGTAATTAAACCAACCTGATGAATTTTCTCTGAAAGTAAGAAAACTCAACAGAGAAAATAACTTGTACTTCTACCCCATTCCAGAGAGACATTTTGCACTTTGTTAATATAATTAAGGAAAGTAACATCTTTGTTAGATGTCATCACTATGTTTTTATAAGCCACTTACCAGTGTGGTAAAGATATAGTGATAGTATTCTGTCATCATCCCCATAGCTAAAGCCTTGAAAAAATAAACAAAAGATTAATGTTTCTGAGGTCACATAATACATTTTTATCACACTTACATGGCAAATGAAAAGCTGCAAAAGAACACTACTGGGATCAAACTATAGGGTTGGAATTATACTAAAATTAGGTCAAGCAAGTCATTTCCTAGCAGTTAGAGAAGATTATAGACTATTAAAGGAATTTATGAACCAGATCTTCTGATAGAAAGAATATTACTAGACTGTTTAGTGCAGTAAATGTGAAAGAAGCTTGTATTTTTACATACTAATGGATACATTAAGTTACCACACAAAATTTGAGTCAACAATATTTTCATTCATTATTCAATCTTTCCCTTAAAATGAATAGCCTAATAGGAATTATTTCTCTTTTTTTTCTATTTTGATGAACAATACTACGCATTTAAAAGAAGGACCTAAGCTTATATCATATATGTGTACATTTTTCCAACCATGGAAGAAAATTCTCTTGAGCCAAATTTCAAGCAGCAAGATACATACTACTTAAATAAGAATAAAGAGCAAGTGTTCATGGTATTACCCTATAAACTCAGATATCTATCAAGCACTTTCATCTTTCCTACTAAGTATATAGTACCAAAGAGTTTTTATTCATATACTTTCATCTTTCCTGCTAATCATATAGTACCAAAGAGTTTTTATTCATATTTTCCTCTTATCTGCATAAGAACAAATATTTGTGGATAAAATTTTAAAGTAATAAACTATTGCTCATCACTCTTAATCATTAAAAGCATTTTCACCTGAGAAGTATGTATGTTCATGCTCTGAACAAAAGTTGCCTTAGATCAGTGTGATTTATTCAATCATTTCAGTGTCTACAGTGATTTTTATCTAATTCTAGCACTTTCAAAAAGCTACACAAGTAAGGGATATTTTCTGCATTTCCAGGAATTATCAATGGAATTCTTTGCCAAGTTGCTCCAGATACACTTCCTTAAAGACGTTGAAAGACACAATTATACAATTGTGACAATATCAGAATTAGTGTACAGAAGAATTATCAGTGTTCTAAAGGCTGTGAGAGCCTTTTTACTCTTGGCGTTGTCTGAAAACTGATTAAATTAATAGTCTATATGTTCTTTTCCAAAGAAAAAAAACCAGATTAGTCCAAATATCAGTTGTAGATAAGATTGTCCCAAATTACTCCAAATATCAGTTGTAGATAAGATTGTATATTATAAATCAGATTTTGACCAAAAAACCCACACATGAATGCCTATACTTGTGTATTTAGAATTACACAACCATATTTAGAATTAGGGCATAGTGTTCCAATTGCAATTTAAATTCTGTTTAACACAGGAAATCCACATTCCATGAGAAACTCATTAGGAACTCTGACTACAAATGTTAGCTTTTTTTAAGAACATTTTTTGGTTTGTTTTTAAATAAACCCAAAGTATCTTCCTCTATATAGGTAACACATTTGCAGTCACCTATATCGTAACTGTTTATAATCAGGTTTTTCATACTCCAAAGAATCCCTACACAACATCCTACGTGTGTTCCTTATCCAGCTGTGTGGCAATGTTGCCTATTTTCCAGGTCTTCCTTCTTTCACTTTCCTCACTTCACTGAAGACCTCAGGTTTTATCCTCTTCAAACATTGTCATTTCTCTGTTCTCATTATTACAGTGCTTCCCTAACCTTTTAAATCCTCTCTGCTTTCCCTGGTTGCCTGGTGATGTAGTTACCACTGAGATTTGCTTTAATTTAATCATGCTTGTCTGAATGATGGGACTTTTTTTTCCTTTTCATGATGCAATTTTGGCCAGTAAACAGCAGCTGCCATTTCACTGGCCTCTCGTGGTATTTTGTTTTATTTTCAACTTGTGTTCTCTTCCACAAACTTCAGCATTAATCTCTCTAATCATCCTCCCAAGAAGAAATCCCTTGTCATGTCTCCCCAAATTCATGCCTTCATTACCAGAAAAAAAATAAACAAATAGTTCTAGATGAACATATAAAGATATATTTTCATTTTTTCACGTTCACTTATAAACACTATTTTTGCAATACTATCACCAAATAATAGAGTCTTAACATCCCTTGTGGCAATTTTGACAGCAAGAGCTCACATTCAGCTTCAGAACTACATATTTTGGATGTATTGAAAGCATTGCAGCATTGAAGCTGAATGGAAAAGTGTAAATCTACAGAATCTGTGCAAAGATCTAAACACTCATGCAAGAATTGTTCCTGTATCTTCCTTGTGCAATCATTAGGATGAGCAGAGCAGTTTGATAAAAAGTTTGCAATTTGATTTAAAAAGGCTGAATACTCACTCTGGGGTCCTGGGACATGACTGAAGATAAAGTGCTTTAAATTTTCTTCCCTTTCCCTCTAGTCATGTGTTTTTCACAATGTTGTATAGTCTGAAATTAAAGTCTCCTTTCATCGAAAAACTACTAGGTACAGTATAAGTAAATGCATCTTGATGGAATCATTGTTGGCACTGCAGCTTAATATTGCCATCAGCATATTTTCCATCTGCATTTCTTAGATTCTGAAGTAACTAAATGCACATTTCATGATTTGAGCTAAACATTTGGAATAACTAGATTGGCTTATGCTTAGCAAAGAGCAAAAACCACCAGCAGAGGTTTAAAATTACTAGGAATTAATAAAAATTTTTCAATCAATGAACAATAAAGCAAAGAAATTATAGTATACAAGTATGCTTACTGGCAATTTTTGTTGTACCCACTATAATACCTTTAATGAGACACCTATTGCCAACCCTTAAATACATTTTGCTTTCAATTTAAACCATTCACTTTGCTCGCAAACATAATATAAACATGAATTAAAGTCACTAAAAGCTCTGTATTAGATATGTAGAATATTGTCATGGTTTAGGTATTCTTCATATCCTCCTTATTGCAACTCATAGTTCAATAAAAAACTGTGGGGACGATGGTTACTGAGCATATGGAATTCCCAGTCTTTGGAGATTGCTCATGAAACTGAAGATACACAGATGCTTGTCTTCTATGCATACAATAAGATTTTTCTGAGGGTTACAGTAAGATTTTTTTAGGAGATAAATCATTTGTATAGCACTATATTGTCAGCTTGTCTTGGAAGACATCACTGGAACCTGCTTCTACAGTATACAGCCAGTTAAGTTTTGAGATTCTGATGTCTCTCTCTTCCTCATCTGACTTGCACACACCACATTCAAAGCACCTACCCAAATGTATTTGGGTGTTTTGCTGTCCTATTAGTATGGCAAAGACAATATGGCTCTAAGGTATCAGTTACTTCTGTAGTCTCAGTGAAAGACATTAATGTGGTGTGTTACTAACAGACTATTCAAATATCAGTATCTGATTGAGAATATGCAACTTAGAGGCTTCAAATAAGAAAAATCAATAAAGCTTGGTTACATAAAATAGCACTAAGCAAGCATTTAAAACCTTGCTTAAAGCATCAGTTCTCCCAAGTACCAATTCTTCCTGGCTGAAAGACTGATATACTTTTTCCCCAAACATGAAGTGATTAATCTGTTTCTTTATAAAAACACAATTAAAGCAGCTACCATTTGTGTCACCATTAAAATTCTCTCTGAAATCCTTGGCTGATTTTCAGCTAGGCCTCAGTAACCTTGTTAAATGCCATTAGGTCTGGATAATACATTTATATATTAGGGATGAAAAGGATTGAGCCATCTCAAGCAAAATGAGGATTACCTGTTTCAAGATGCCTGCTGCCATTTCATGGCTGCAGTCAAAGATGACATGGAATTCTTTGCCTCTTTTCATCTCCTTTAGCAATGGCTTTGCATCTTTTGTGTCAGCTGGTAACTGACGGATTTTAAGTCTTAGGTTGTATCGTGATGGAGCCTTGATGAGCTCTTGTAACCGAATAAGACCTTAAAGAAAACAGGAGTCAAGAGAAAAGAAAATTATCAGAACAAGAACTTGAACTGTTAGCAGAAGGACTTACTATAAACACTCAGAGTTTTCTGAATTTTTCTCCCTTCTCAGTATGTTGCAGCTATTATACAAAAGTTTTATTAAAAATAAAGTATCTCCACTCCCAAGACTTTATCAGAATTTTCTGTTCTCATTATTAACAGTCAGTAAGCAGCCTGAGTTAGGATTCCCTTAAGACAAACAAATCTTCCTCTAGAATTATCATGCAACTGTGACATTCCTCTTTGAAGAACATATATAATTATTCCAATTCAATTGAAGTTATATCCCAGACTAATAGTCTGTGCTCAGACTAGCCAGTCCCACAACTAATCTATCAGGTTTACATAGAAAGTTGTGAGTCATTTCAACCCTGTAGAACACTCCCACATAATTCATGAGTATTTTTTTCCTTGACCATACAAGTAACAAAACACATATGCAGCAAAGAGAATGAATAAATAACCCATGACATTGCATTTATCTTCAATATTCTACAATTCCATTTTCATTTATTTTACTTTTATTATGGAATTAGATGCAGTAGCAATTTTCCAAAAAATCTAATTGCTCACATCATCATAACAGGGTGTGGTGTGATTTACAGATCACTGATTGTTCTGTGACCAATACCAAATATTAGTTTACTTAAATGTATTAATAAGGCAGGGTAAAAACAAGCCTTTTATCAAGTAGCAATTTCTCTGCGTTAGCCAAAAAAAATATTCTGCCATGTTAACCTCCTTCATGCATTGGAGCCTGCTCTATTGGTAGTAAGAAGGCTCACTGTTCATCATTATGTTCACAGTGCACATATTTAAAACAACCTAACTGCCAAAAAATGAAAGCTCTGCTCAGGATCTAAGTTACAGCAGGATCCAGGCACAAATGAAGTGCTTCTAAAATCTGAAATGGCTCATTTCACTACGTCAAAAATATTAATGGATATGAATAATTATAATCATTGCAGGCAGCACTGAATAGTATTAAAAAACACTGGGTTTTTAAAATTTTCTTTTATCTCTAAATATTCTTCCTGGTTACAACTGAATGTCAAAGCTGTCTTGATTTCAGGATATGTTATAATTTAATGTGGAACCACACTGCAGCATCAGAAAGAGATTTAGATAAGGTCTGACAGAGGCTTTAATACAACCTTTTCCGACATACATTGTTCTTTTAGTAACATAAGGCTGATTGTATAAAACTTAGTGCTAATCATTTGCAACAGAACCAGACACATAGAGAATATAACTGTAAGATAAAACCAGTCTCTGTGTTTCACCTTTTTCCCTTTTTGACTGTGCAAAGGATCCATATTCTTTTCTCAACAGTTTCTGCTGAAATTGGCTGGAATGGGAATTGCAGCTTACTATATAAAACCTTCCTAAATTAAGACTGCAGGTGTGGAGATCTGGCAGAAGATCCCAGTAGACCTCTTAGACCCAAAAGCAGAGTGGGAAAGGACAACCTTGTTATTTAATCAATTTAGGAATTTTTTCTTCATTCATAAATCTATGTCACAGATAGAATAACTCATATGTCATCACAATCTCTAGTAATAGTCCCATCACATACAAACTTTCTCAACACGGTGCATATTGTTCAAACTGAAACAATTGTTACCTATAGCTAAACAATCTCTGAAATCTGCATCTTCTAAAAACACTTCTATAGGATTTTCATTCACAGATTAAAGCACTGAGAAGTAAATCCAGTAATTCAGTGTGGGCTGATATTTTCTACAGAAAATTATGGGAAAAACACTACAGGTCTTTTGGATATAACATAACAACATACCCAAATTTAAGGTCAGAGTAAAATCTTTTAACTCAAGAGAAGGAAAAACAGTTACTAAGCATGTTCCAGGTTATTTGTCTTTGCTTGTTAAAAGAAGACAATTAGAAACTTTTGTACAGTGCAAACAACTTGTAAATAATTTTGATTCCTATTCCATTATATTTAGTAAGCCTAATTTTAGACTTGTCCTGATTATTTTGCCTCATTTTATTTTGCTTGTCCTTCTTTGAAAAAGAAATTTAATACCACGGTTAAAAAATGAGAGAAACATCACCATATTTACTGGCAATCTTTAGGAGAGAATCTGAGGGCAGAACAGACATGGAAACTGAAATAGTTGAGCTGGTCCCTGCTTGCCAAAGACACAGAGAAGTGATAACTAGGGTTACATGACTTCTGAGTAAATGGCAGATATAAGTCTATGTGGTTGTGAACACAGTACTTTTAGAACTAATTCAAATTTTAAAAATTACTATATTCACCTCAAAGCTGTAATGATATTTGCATAACATGAATTAATACATTTAATGAAAGCATGAGTGGATTTAATACTTTATTTCTAAATAACCTTGAATAAATATACTTAAAACATATATAGGGATGTGACTTCTCTAACTTGAAAGCTTATACCTCTACTTGAAATTAACACACTAGCATAGCCATAGATATTGGCCACCTTATAAAAAAATCTCTGGAAATAACATGCCAACAAAAATATTTCACGTTGTCCCAAGTTTCTCTCATTTCTTTAAGACTAAGTAGAATGGGTGCCCTTGCAGTTCAATGAAACCCAAAAAATCTATAATTTCAGATTGAAAAAAGGACCATATTTAAAAGCAGTGTATTTCTCAAAAGTGAAGGTGTTCACCTGCTCTGATATCCATGCACTTCCACTGAAGGACTACAAATCACAAGAATGGCAATGTAGGACAGGTAGCATAGCACATGCTGGTAGAAAAAAATAGAAGTCTTGGGTTTTGGTACTCACTAGTCAAACATGACTGAGAAAATGGACAGAAAGAC